ATTTTACTTATGTCGTCCCTGAACTCGTGAAATTGGACAACTTCGACAATTTTATCAAAAGCGAAATCCAGTTCTCTTGGCGAAATACTTTTTTCAAAGGGCTTCGACACCTTTCTGCACCTTTGAATAAAACGAAAAACCCACACGAAAACTCTCAGAAGCTTCAGGTGCGACGAAAAGGACTCTATTTTCTGAAGCACATAATTTGGCTCTGGGCTGACTACGAGAGCTATTGCCGATTTGCGTAGCTCCATCGACATTACATCAGCCGGCAGTTCGAAATGTTTATTTACAGGCCAATTATTTTCTGAGTCTAGCAAGAACGAAGGCCCACCGAACCAAATGGACGTTGTAAGCTCTTCTACGTCACATCCTCGGGACACTATATCTGCTGGGTTGACTTTCGTGGGAACGTGTCTCCAAATTGCTTTCTCCGACCACTCCTGAATTTCTACAACCCGGTTCGAAACAAAAACCGACAACGACGAGGGATGGGTTTTAATCCAGTGTAAAGTGATCTCGGAGTCTGTCCACAGGAAAACATTCTCAATGGGAGAATTTAGCAATGGCCTGACACGATTATAGAGATCTGCTAAAAGGTGAGCTGCACACAGCTCAAGGCGAGGCAAAGTTTTCGTCTTGAGGGGAGCTACTTTCGATTTGGCGGTCAATAAAGACACTTTCAAACCTTCAACAGTTTAAATCCGAACATAGATGCACGCTCCATACGCTCGCATGGAAGCGTCAGCGAAACCATGTATTTGAATCGGGACTTGTGGATCTGTGTTGACGAATCGCGATACCTTAATTTTAGGCAGCTGCAGAAGCGTCGCTTTAAACGTCTCCCACGACGTGAGCAACTGCATCGGTAGCGACTCGTCCCAATCTAATTTTCGAAGCCACAGTTCCTGCAACAACATCTTTGCCTTTGTGACCAAAGGACACAAGAGGCCAAGTGGGTCGAAAAGTCGAGCAGTCACCGACAAAATATTTCGTTTTGTCGCGCGAAGATCCAGGAAAGAGTCATCCAACCGAATTGCCTCTTGCAAGACCTGAGACTCTCCGTCTCAAAGGCTTTGCAGGTCCTCAACGCATCCGGCGCCAGTCAACAAATCGTCAACATAAAAATCATTCTGAATAACCTTTGCGGCTTTTGGATGAGTTGCTTGCGCCATCTCTCCTAGCCGCATTAAACACCGAATCGCCAAAAAGGGGGCTGGCGAAGTTCCATATGTAACGGTGTTCAACTTAAAGATTTTCAGGGACTCAGAAGGATCTCGTCTCCATACTATGAGCTGGAAGTTACGATCAGCTTCGTCCACCATCACTTGGCGATACATCTTTTTGACGTCGGCCGCAAGGGCAAACTTATGCAATCTAAACCGAAGCAGAGTCGAGTACAGCTCCTCTTGAATAGTTGGGTCTACCATCAAGATGTCATTCAACGCTACCTGCGAAGGGTCCTTTGACAATTTCCTTTCTAGCGACAAAAATCTACGTTTCGCAACTTCGTATGACGAACCAAGAGTATTTGGGTCAGATTTAAACGGCAAACGAACCGACAATCTACCGGACGACAATCTTTGAGTATTTTTCTCAAAGTGTTGTTGACAGAGTTGTTGCTCAGGAGTATGGACTTTAGCCTTGGGCGGCAAGTCCTCCACAGACCAAAATTTCTGCAGGGTTGTGTCAATTGACTCCAACGCTTCCTCCTGGCAGCTGAGATGTACCATTTTTTCAGCGTTTTTATTATTTTCAGAGGCACATCTGCCTGACACTATCCAGCCGAGAACTGTCTTTTGTAGGATGGGGAATTCATGCCCCTGCTTTATCTGGCCAATAGATAAAAGTTCAAAGAATGTTTCAGCGCCGATAAGCATATCTATTTTTTGGGGCTTGAAGAAGAATGGATCTGCCAACTGAATATTTTCAGACACCCTCCACCCGCTGGTGTTCACCGCTTGATCCGGATGATAACCAGAAATATTTTTCATAATCCAAAAATCGGACGACAATTGGCTGTTCCCTACTCGCGACTTCACAATCGTGTGTATTTTTTTGTGGCTTGGGCATTGGTTCCACCAATGCCTCGCAAGCTCATGCACACGTCCTCTCTTGTAATTTTGAGCCTCTGAGCGAGCTCGTCGGTTACAAAGTTTATTTGTGAACCAGAGTCGAGCAACGCTCGAGCTAATACAAACTCGACACTTTTTGTTTGGACGCTCACAACAGCAGTTGCAAGAATGACTCGATCCGATGCATTCGCATGCAAAACATGCGAAGTGGATAAAGACTCCTGCATGAGCGTGGGCTGAGAAGGAGGTGGCAACGCGAGATTTGTGTTTGGGGCATACATATGTAGCAAAGTGTGATGTGAGGAATTGCACACTCTACATCTGTTCGATTTGCATTTTTTGACAGTGTGACCCTTTCTTAAACAGTTAATGCATAAGGGTGCTCTTTTAGCGAAATCGAATCTTTGCTGAACTGTCAGGGCTGCGAAGGAAGCGCAGTTTCCAATCTGATGTTCAGCTGAGTTGCAATACATGCATTGAACAGAGTCGTTCCTGGCAGCGACAAACGAAAAACTCCTATTTCCATTCTTCTTACGGTTAGATTGGGTCTGCTGAACAGTTTTGGGCTTGGAAGCCTCTTCTGCTACCATGTGTTGGTATCGCCTGTTGAGGGCCGCCTCACATTTGCTCCAAAGTGGAAGCGAAATATAATCTAACTGTTCTTCCCATTTTCTTTTAGTTGCTCATTGCTCATTACCAGATGTATTAAAATGGCATTAGTAATGCGTCTGTCATCCCCAATAGACAGCAAGGAGTCATACAAGGCTGTGACCGTGTCGATGAGGGTTCTCAAGGCTGTAGCTGAAGGCTGGGAAATTTTTTGCAAATTAAAAAGTGTCGATATGATGTCAAAAAAAATAAGACAATCATTATCGTACACCCGCTTCAGGCTAGCAAGGGCTTTGGGATAATTTTCTGACTTGGAAGGCCCTAACTGTTCCTAAAGCGTCTCCAGCTAAACACGAAATTAAATGATAGAATTTTTTAATATCGTGTAAAGTGTCATCTTTGTCAACGAAAGTTACAAAAAGGCTTATAAAATTTTTAAATTCGGAGTGTTTTCCGCTAAAAGTTGGGAGAGCAACGCTCGGCAGACGGCATTGAGGCGGGCGATTTGCTGGCGGAGCGGATTTCTCGATATTATTTTGTTTGGACTTATTTAAAATTGAAATCAGCAATGACTTTGTCATTACGGCCCTCTCTTCCAACTCTTCGCGGTATACATCTTTTGTATCATTCACTTCTATTTGGTTTTGCAAAAGTGAAGCATTTTCAATGTGCGTATTTAGAATCTCTAATCGACACTCAAGTTCGACCGGATTTATAGATAATTTAGCTTCCTTTAAGTGGCGATAAGTTCGGTTAATACTTTTCATGCAAACATCTCGTTGGTGTTTAAGCTCTTCGATATCCTTAGTTGCCATTGCGTTTATTTGTATTTATTTGGTTGGTATCGAAGAGGTGTTAAATATTTATTTTTATTAAATTATTTATTTGTTAAATAATATAATAAAAAATCAACGAGTAATATACTGATCGCACACGGTGTAAGGGAGCTAAGTGCCGAGAGAATTACAGCGAAAAATCTAAATAGGGTTTTTATATTTTTATATTTAAACCCTGCGACAGTATATGCCGCACGCACGCACTGTAGGGGAGCTACCGCTCAAGCTCAAGCGTACCGAAAAAACGAACAAACGTTTAGGCAGACCGAAAATTGCACTGCTGCAGCGATCGAGAACGAAAACGACAAAAGATAACTCGAAATTGCGGCAGCGGTGTCGGTGTGCGTGTGTATGTGTACGCGGCTAGCGGCTCTTCCTATGCAAATGCTAACGGAGAATGATACACTGACCGATAATTAAGGGCAACGAATATATAAGCCTGACGCCAAAAATGCGCGCAAAATTATGAAAAGCGCGGAATGATTGGAAAAGCGCGGGAAAATTTTGAAAAGCGCGGGAAATGTTCGGACAAACTGCGCCGAAAGTTATTGCCGCTAATTTTCTGAGAGCTACACTTTTCACAATTTGCACTTTTTTCCAGCTATTTGTATTTATACCCTAAATTGGTGCTCACTACGACGAAAGTTGGGGGAATTAAGTTCGCACTAATTGGGTCGACGACGAGTATTTTATTTGCTTGTTTTTTGGCCAAAGCGATTCACATATAATTCGAAATATATTATGTTTATTGTAGAATCTTGGTTGTTAGTACATGCAAATTTTTATTTCTTGGTTAAAATGCTCACTCACCGATTTTTACACGAATCAAAAAGTTGAAAGATGGGCCGAAACACAATTGACAAAACGCCACTCTATACCTGGATGGCCGACTTGATAATTGCAACTTCCTTTTTGACTTCCATTTGGCGGCAACAGCAAATAGAGCAATTAAATTTGCCGAAACGTCAGGCGCAACTTCAAGAACGGCAGAAAATTTCCAGCGACGAAATTATTGAATTTAATTTATTGGCCGAACCGACACGAATAAATTGGTTGTTGTTGGTATTGTTTATAGTTTTTCACCGAAAAAAAAATTAAAACTCGGGAACTCTAATGCTGATCACGTCGGGTTCACCATGAAATTTTAATACTATTTTGTATTAACAACGCGAAAACTTGTGAATGCAGTAGTTCGAGACGATTTTAATTGCGAAACTTGTGAAAACTATGTCGAAAGCGCGACGAAAAGGAGTGGCTACGATGACGTTCGATGGATCACTAACAATTATATTTCAATAATTTCTCTTAGAACCTAACTTATGCTACGGTGGCGAGAGACGGGGCGAATTCGCAAGAGCGAACAGACGAAAGCTTTATTGGCCCCGCTCTCGCCCTACAACTAGTGATTTAAATACAAGCGCTGAGTGCGCAAATGCAAAAATTGCTTTTTAAGTCTGTTTTGGTATATATTGGAACTAACCTCATCAGCTACTCCTTGCGCATTTATTTGTAGCTCCTCCAGCTCGGTTTTAGGGACCTGAGGAGCGGTCATTTCTTCTGAGGGGTCCGATGGCATCCTAAAAAAAAATTAACGAAAAAATTGATTGAAGATAAAGTAAATAGAGCTCACATTTGTTTCCAAAAGGTATTACAAATATTATGAACACGTTTAATATATTGTATAAAAATAAAACGGGGCTACCTTTCTAACGCTATAACTCCAGAGCACACGAACCGATTTCCACGGTTTTGCATTCGTTGGAAAGGGCTCGGGCCCGTGAGGTTTATAGCGAAAAAAAAAAACAATTCAGGAAAAATTTCAACAGAAAAGCGAGTAAATATTTTTTTTTATACAGCGCCATCTCTAATACACAGCATTTACTATAAACTAATATTTTAATTAGATGACGCCGGTGAGTAATACATTGTGGGACAGCAACTCATTGTTCTCTGTTCAGTTAATTTCATGTGACAAGGTATTGTGTTCACTCTTAAATTGTAAAAAAAAAAATGTTTTTAAATAACTTATTCGTTTCCTAACAGTTCAGTTTGATGAAACCATCAAATCAATCACGTGCATGTCCAAATTTTTATTCAGTTTCAACAGCAGGCATTTGTCTTTAAGATGGCCAGTTGAACTGTGTTAATTTTGTGGATCGTGCATTTCAGGTTAAATTCACCACTCTGTCCATAGTCCAAAATGCATTGAGTGAACAATGGCACATAGGAAATCACTTGAAGCGCTTAACTTCACACTAATGGATCTTCGGCGAAATAACAACATCTTTGGCGGCTTGACGATATTATTGGTAGGCGATTTCAGGCAGACGTTTCCAGCAATTCCCCGTGGAACGCCTGCAGATGAATTGAATGCTTGCCAGAAGGCATCACCTTTACGGAATAACGTAAAACATAACTGCTTACCACTTATATGAGAGTTCAACTGCAAAATGATCAAAGTGCTGCACAATGTTCGAAACAATTGTTAGCTGTTAGAAATAGAAAAGTTCCAGGTTATGCGAGATCTGGATTAATTACTCTTACCAACGACTTTTTCGGATTTGTATACTCTCAATTAGCTCTTGTTGAAAATGTATTCCCAAACATTTGTGAGAATTATCAGAATTATGCTTGGTTAAGCCAACGAGCAATTCTTCCCGCAAAGATTATTGATGTACACATACGAATTTCACCATTCAATCACAAATTGCTGGCGATTTGGTGACATACAAATCCGTTGATTCTAAAGCAAATTCGGATGATTTAGTAAATTATCCAACGGAGTCTTTGAACTCTCTGGAATTACCAGGATTTTCACCACATAACTTGCAACTCAAAGTATGTACAGTTATTATGATATTGCGTTATTTGAATCCACCGCTAATTTGCAATGATACTCGACTTTCAGTAAAAAGACATGTCGAATTTGATTGTCGCAACCACTATTAAGGAAAAGTACGCAGGTGAAAAATTATGTGTTACTCAAATACCAATGATTCCGACTGATCTTCCGTTTGACTTCAAATGATTGCAATTTCCATTTCGACTTGCGTTCACAATGACAATTACCAAGTCGCAAGGCAAATCTCTTAGTGTTTGCGGGATAAACTTAGAAAATCATTGTTTTTCACATGGGCAGTTATATGTTGCCTTTTCACGAGTTGGGAAACCATTAGCTTTTTTTTTTTTTGTTAACGCCAGACCAAAAAACCAAAAATGTGGTTTACCAAAAAGCACTACAATGAAACGGATAATTGGCGGACAGTATTTACTTTGGATTCACCTACAGAAGCTCAATTAAATAACATTTCATTTTTGTAATCGAAATAAATTCATTACTGTTGTGAAATGAAATAAAATTTTCCTTTTTCAAATATAAAACAAAACAAAAATTTTTCTGCATCTTTTAATCACCAATCGAAATTTTACATAAAACTAAGCCATCTGGTGGCGAAACGAAGTTCGCCAGGCTTGCTAGTAAGTACATACAATTTTAATTGTGTACAGTTCGTATAGCTTTAAAAAATGTTCTGGGCCACTTTTTTGTACCACTGTCAAAGCACTAGCCAGCAATCTGTGTAAAAAAGTTAAAGACCATATAACAAGTTAGTAAAAGCAAAACAATTTTGTCGCCGTTTGTAATTTATGAACTGTAAGTGCCAACTGAGCTGTAAAATGCCTTCTATTCTTCTTGATCTGACTTCTGAAATTAGCTGTCATGGTATCAAGCTCTTACTAAATGGCTCGAGACAACTAAAAAATCTTAGCAGGCCATCTTATGTCCGAGAAATTTTTAGTGTGATAAGAGGATCTCTTGAGTTTTAAGAATTGTTGATTATTGAAAGCGCAAAGCTCTTTTTTAGAGTAAATGGTTGGAAGACGATTTCCAAATATACAGTAAATGTATTTGCCCTATTTTCGTTGCTGCATGTCCACTCTCTCCTGTGTGTGTATATAAAAGTCGTTCACTCTCAATTGCTGGACAAATCTAAGGTATTTGTGGATTTCCACAGTGGATATCGTTTCTTGGATATTTGACCTTGATTGCTCTCATATTCTAGTACTTTAAGTAAGGTGATGTGTAGGCTTCCCACATTTTTCGAGCCCATTTCTTGTTTTGTATCAGATCCTCAATATGCCTAAAAGCATGACAGATGTCGGAAGTTGGATGATTAAAGAGGTGATGTAAGATTGACCAATGATCCTATTAAATATCTGTTAAGTGTTCCATGCGAAAATGAGTCAAGCTACTTCTTAGCACCTCTGGGGCAGTAGGAGAAATAATGTAAAGCTTGTTTCGTTGTGCTATTGTAGAGTTGTATAGCTGTCTTCCTTTTGGGATGGTGCGTCTAGATCCTTAGTTGGTGTGCTCTGCATTAAAGTCACCAGCTATTATAAAGCAGTCACCTAATATGCCAAAGAATGTTCTAAATTTGGCTTCGAACATGGAAAAGCACGATGGGCAGTAATCAGCGGCTATGTTAAAATAATTTTTTGTTTGCGCAATTTGAGCCTTTAATTTGAATCTATCTAAAAACCCAGAGTTTTTAATTTAAAAAAGAAAGAACGAATTCATTACAATACAAAAAGGATATAAGACCCATCAACCAAATCCAATTAGACCACTTTTCAAAATCTGGCTACACCAAAATGTACTGTAGTATCCAGTAGTACTTTGGTGTATAAACATAAGCACAAAGTCATGCATAACTCAAGTAGTCGAAATACGAGCAATCAAGTATGCCTCGGACGACATATGTGCAACTGTCAGCATATTCCCAAGGCCTGACCATACATACAATCGATGCATTTATAAACATCTCTGTAGAGACTGGCGAGCCAGAAGGTAACCAAGTTTTCTAGATAATTTAGGCAAAAAGAACTGCGGGCTCAAGAAAATTATGTTCAAAAATTATTACCTACAAAACGATTTCAGCTGAAACACCGTTGCAAGATCAAGATGGCTCTTAAGCTAACAACGATGCAGAAAAAACCAACGTTTTTGCAAAACACCTTCACAACGTTTTCAAACCAAATGCACCTGAAGGCACGTTTACGTTACCTGCACTAAACCGAGGCGAGCACACCACAGATGTCTCATTCTTCAATTCGAAAATCTCCAAGGTCATCAAAAAACATCTTAATTTAAATAAATATCCTGGGCTTGACAGGATCGCACACGAAATTATAGCACAGCTCCTATCTTGCGCAACAGAAATCATTTGAATACCATAACGAAGTTGAGTCACTTTCCACAGACTTGATCTGACTTGATCTGACTTCTGAAATTAGCTGTCATGGTATCAAGCTCTTACTAAATGGCTCGAGACATCTAAAAAATCTTAGCAGGCCATCTTATGTCCGAGAAATTTTTAGTGTGATAAGAGGATCTCTTGAGTTTTAAGAATTGTTGATTATTGAAAGCGCAAAGCTCTTTTTTAGAGTAAATGGTTGGAAGACGATTTCCAAATATACAGTAAATGTATTTGCCCTATTTTCGTTGCTGCACGTCCACTCTCTCCTGTGTGTGTATATAAAAGTCGTTCACTCTCAATTGCTGGACAAATCTAAGGTATTTGTGGATTTCCACAGTGGATATCGTTTCTTGGATATTTGACCTTGATTGCTCTCATATTCTAGTACTTTAAGTAGCAGGTAGTTGGGTATTGTTAACCGCTCTTTTGAGGCAGGTGATGTGTAGGCTTCCCACATTTTTCGAGCCCATTTCTTGTTTTGTATCAGATCCTCAATATGCCTAAAAGCATGACAGATGTCGGAAGTTGGATGATTAAAGAGGTGATGTAAGATTGACCAATGATCCTATTAAATATCTGTTAAGTGTTCCATGCGAAAATGAGTCAAGCTACTTCTTAGCACCTCTGGGGCAGAAGGAGAAATAATGTAAAGCTTGTTTCGTTGTGCTATTGTAGAGTTGTATAGCTGTCTTCCTTTTGGGATGGTGCGTCTAGATCCTTAGTTGGTGTGCTCTGCATTAAAGTCACCAGCTATTATAAAGCAGTCACCTAATAGGCCAAAGAATGTTCTAAATTTGGCTTCGAACATGGAAAAGCACGATGGGCAGTAATCAGCGGCTATGTTAAAATAATTTTTTGTTTGCGCAATTTGAGCCTTTAATTTGAATCTATCTAAAAACCCAGAGTTTTTAATTTAAAAAAGAAAGAACGAATTCATTACAATACAAAAAGGATATAAGACCCATCAACCAAATCCAATTAGACCACTTTTCAAAATCTGGCTACACCAAAATGTACTGTAGTATCCAGTAGTACTTTGGTGTATAAACATAAGCACAAAGTCATGCATAACTCAAGTAGTCGAAATACGAGCAATCAAGTATGCCTCGGACGACATATGTGCAACTGTCAGCATATTCCCAAGGCCTGACCATACATACAATCGATGCATTTATAAACATCTCTGTAGAGACTGGCGAGCCAGAAGGTAACCAAGTTTTCTAGATAATTTAGGCTAAAAGAACTGCGGGCTCAAGAAAATTATGTTCAAAAATTATTACCTACAAAACGATTTCAGCTGAAACACCGTTGCAAGATCAAGA